TAACTGGGACCCAAGTGGATACCCATAGCCACTCCTTTGACTTGGCTGAAGTGAGATGAATTAAAGGAGAAATTGTTCAGTGAGAGAACAAGTTCGGCCAGGCGGAGGAGAGTGGTGGTGGAGGGGTATTTTTCAGGCCTCTGGTTGAGGAAGAAGCTGAGAGCTCACGGACCATTCTGATGGGGAGTGGAGGTACAGAGGGATTGGACATTCGTGGTGAAGAGGAGACAGTTAGGGCCAGGGAACTGGAAATGGTCAATAAGGTCTCCCGCTCAATTAAACACAGCATCCTGCTCACATGTCCACGTTTGTCCTTGGCATGCTGCAGGGTTCCAGTGAATCACAGCACAAACTGGACGAACAACGCCTCATCTTCAGACTAGGCACTTTACAGCCTTATGGATTTGAGTTAAATTGTGTACCATTTCTTCCTTTTCTTTTATCTTGTTATCATGTCTTCCCCTCCCCCCATCCCAGTTACTGTCCTTTCAAATCTGGCAGGAGAGACACCATCGTTCTGCCATTCTCACATTCCGATCACGTAATCCGAACTGTTAACATCCTTTCTCTACCAATGCCTTACACCCACTACCCCCACCCACCGCTCAAACTATAGCATAAATGCTGTCCTCTCCACACTTCACTTCAGCTCTGATGAAGAGTCATCTAGACTCCACATTAGCTTGCTCTCTCTCCATGGATGTTGTCTGACCCACTGTGATCTCCAGCACCTGCAATAATTTGTTCCTCAAGAAGCTTGGCACCATCCAACACACAGCAGTCTGCTTGATTGACACCCCATCCATTGTCTTCAACTTTCAGTTCCTTCTCTGGTGCACAGTAGCAACAGTATGTATCATCTACAAGAAGCATTGAAGTAACTTACAGTCCTCGATATCATCGTCCAAACCCATGACCATTTCCATCTAGAAAGAAAAGGCAGCAGATATGTGGGAACGTCAATCAACTGCAAGTTCCCCTCCAAAAAACACACCATCCTGACTTGGAAATATATCACCATTCCTTCAGTGCCTCTGGGTCAAAATCCTGGAACTCTTTTCCTAACAGCACAAGTGGGGCTGCCTACACCAAGGACTGCAGTGGTTCAAGAAGACAGCTCACCACCACAAGCTCTAGGGTAATTTGGGAAGGGCAGTAAATGCTAGCCTGTCTGGCAATGTCCACATCCCATGGACAAATGATAATAAACTTGTAACCTGTGCCACTGCTGCTGCTAAAGTTAGAGCAGAATGAGTTCCATCGGTACTGGATATGATTCATCAGCCTCTACCCTCGCTCCTGATGGGCGAGCATTTCAGGTTTGATATGCGATGAAAGCTGTAGAAAACATTAACACAGCTATTGGGATAAGGTGTAAATATTGAGTAGTGTTCAGAGTGGAGATATAGGTCCTTTCTAAACTACATGGACAAGACTCCAACAAATGCATATTTCACATCAATCGTCGTGTAGGAATGGCAGTTGCATGTCTTCTGGCAGATGCACTATCTCTTACCGATATTGCAAGGGAAGAAGCTTCCAATTTAGATCTAATTATACATATGACATTCCATTGAGGCATTAGAGTAGCAATGTATGTCCATGTTTACACATTGTATAGTGCTGTGCAGCCATTTGGAAGAAGCTTCATTTATGGGATCTTATGATCAGGACGATGGAGCTCAAGTGTGCATGATTGACCCTTCAGGAGTGTCCCACACTTACTGGGGATGTGCAATTGGAAAAGCTAAAGAAGCTGCAAAACAAAGATTGAGAAGCTGCAGATGAAAGACATGACTCGCAGGAAAGTGGTTAAAGAAGTTGCAAAAATAATCCACATCATCCATGATGAAGTTAAGGATAAATCTTTTGAGTTGGAGTTAAGCTGGGCTGGAGAAATTATGAAAGGCAGGCATGAGCTCATACCTGAAGATATCAAAGAGGAAGCAGGAAAATGTGCGGAAGAATCTCTTGAGGAAGATGATGAACCTGATGAAGACAACATCTAATTAGTTTCTTTTAAATATACAGTACTGTTTGAAACAAGAAAACTTGTAACTGAGCTTAAATCCAGCTGCCAGAGTTGCTGTTCTATCTCATGTCGCCATCCAGTGTTCAGAAGTATATTTTTAGATCAAACTGTTAAAAAGATTAGCAACAGTATTGCCTTAAAAAATTTCCATCAATTTTCCATTGAGGTTTTAGGTTACTTTTAACTGAAGCCAGGTGTTGACACATCGTCACATCTTGGTGATGGTATATTCCCAGGTTAACCGTGTTTCCGAATTTACATTTGTTGAGTGAGAGCTGGGGAGGGAAACGGTCTTAAAATCTTTTTGTCATTTGGGAGCAAGGTCCAATCTGTACTTATAACTGTGGAATTAAGAGGGTGGAAGAATATCGCTTTCTTCTCAATTGCCTTGATTTTCTTTATTTATTTATGGGGTGTAGGAATTGCTGGCTGGGCCATTTCAGGATTTTGACCCAGCGATACTGAAGGAACACCAATGTAGTTCCAAGGCAGGTTGGGAACTTGTAGGTGGTGTTGTTCCTATGTATCTGCTGCCGTTGTCCTTCAAGATGGATTTGGAAGGTGCTGTCTAATTAGCCTAGGTGAATTTTGCCCAAGTATCTTGTAGGTGGTACATGCTGGTGTTACTGAGCATTGGTGATGGTGGGAATGGATGTTTGTGGATGTGATGCCGATCAAGCAGGCTGCTTTATCCTGGATGGTATCAAACTTCTTGAGTGTCATTGGAGCTGTTCTTATCCAGGCAAGTGGGGGTGTATTCCAACGCACACCTGACTTGTGCCTTTCAGATGATGGACAGGCTTTGGGGAGTTGGGAGGTGAGTTACTTGCAGCCAAATTCCTAGCCTCTGACCTGCACTTGAGTCACTCCATTAATATGGCTACTCCAGTTCAATTTCTGGTCAGTGGTAACACCCAAAATGTTGATTGTGAAGGATTCAGTGATAGTAATGTCACTGAATGTCAATGGTTAGATTCTCACTTGATGGAGATGGTCATTCCTTGGCATTTGTGTAATGCAAATGTTACTTGCCACTTTTCAGCCCTAGCCTAGATATTGTCAGATGTTATGGTGGTGGGAAGCTCATTGATAAAGCAGCTGAAGATGGTTGGGCCTAAGGCACTACCCTGAAGAACTCCTGCAGAGAAGTCTTGGAGCTGAGACTGACCTTCAGCAGCCACAACCATATTTCTAAAGAGCTTTGGTCTTTGTAGGCTCAAGTTGCTTCTTGTAACTTTGGCCCAATACACTTTTGAACTAAGTGGCCAGTACAGGCAAGCGTTCAACAGGACAGCATCAGAGCTGCCCCTAATCCAGTTCAGCCCAACCTTCAAATATGCATTTTCAGCAGGGAATAGCTAGATTGGAGATCAGAAACCAGAATTCTGTCTGATTTTTATCTTGTCCTTCAGTAACTGTTTCTCATCATGGTTCCTTAACTAACCAAAGCTGGACTTGAGCAATACGGTACAACAAAGCATTGATATTTAGTCACTAAACATCAGGATTATGAAAGGATATTTCCATATTGGAAAGGGAAATTCTACCTTTTCCAGTTTCTTTGTTTAAAGTCATTGAATTTAATGTCACTGGAGGAGGCCATTTAGCCCGCTGCACTGCTGTCCGCTCCCTGAATGGACTATCCACCCAGCACCCACTATTTTTCCTCTTCTTTTACCATACCCTTTTAACTTGAACTTCATCCTTCGAATATTTATATTTCTATTTTTAAAGTAATTGTAGATCTGCTTCCTGGATTTATTCTTGTCAGCATTTCAAATGCTGCAATATGAAATTGTCAAATCTCATTACTTTTCTTGTTAAGTTTTCCTACTTTTCTTGTTAAGTTTTCCATTTAGGTTCTCCAATTCTTAGTCAGGGAGGTGCTGGGAAAGTTTTCATGTCTTGGCTTCCTCACCACTATCCTACCCCATCCGCCTACCAGTGTACGAACAAATTCCATTCTGTTGTCATGTCTTACTGCATGCTTCTGTTCTGTAGCGAGGTTTGATAGTGTTGTTTAAAGGCTCAGTTGTTGAGTGTTGGGATGAGGAACATCTCAGTAATGTGTTTCCTGTGTTTCAGGTGACGGTGATGCACTCCATGCAAGCTGGATACCTAGAGAAAGCTCAGAAGTACACAGATAAAGCACTCATGCAGTTAGAAAAATTAAAAAGTAAGCCATATGGAATTCCTGTCTTTCATCATATTTTGTCGGTAGAATTTTGGTGAGGGTTGGATTTACAAATCTTTTGCACTATACAATTGAATTGTAGATTCTGATCTTCCAAACCTGGATTGAATTGCAGTGCAGTAGGGTCCAGTAACTGATGGGTCAAGGTCTGTCATTTTATGACACGAGTACAGTACCGGTGGGACCAAATCTGCCACAGTGTTTTATAGTACAGTATTTTTGGGTACAGGTTTCTCATTGTATAACGGTGGGGTGTAATAATGGTGAGTGCAGGGCACTCACTATCACACTGGCTTAAAATACTGGTGGGTACAGATCTGTCATTGTTTAACACTGGGGAATAATACAACTGGGCAATATTCTCACTGTACAACATGGCGTGTCACCTTTTGACCTGTCTGGCTTGGTTACACTGCCTTTTAACCACTGAAAGAAATGAAGGATCTAACTGAGATCGTGCTTGCTATTTGTGTAAATTTTCTGAAGACTTCTGAAGACCCTTACTAATCAATTGTTTGGTTTCGAACTTGTACTTTATAAGTGATTTTTGATGTATTGTAGTAATATAAAACATAGTTCTGTCTCATCTGTTCAGTGCTGGACTGCAGCCCAATACTCTCTTCGTTTCAAGTCATGTTACTGGAGCATATCATCATGTGTCGACTTGTAACAGGCCACAAAGCAACAGCTCTCCAAGAGGTTTGTATACTGTCTCACAGCCTGGGTGCTATCAGAGAAAGATAGTACGTTAGGTGCAATTTAGACTTTAACCTCTGAGACACAAGTTCACATTTTACATGGTTTTGAGCTAAGGTCTTGTCTGCTGCCTGTAATAACAACAGCTGCTTTTGTATTGTGTCTTTAATGTACTAAGACATGTTCAGATGTTTAATAAAGAAGAATTATCAAATAGAATTTGATTCCATGCCACATGAGGAAATATTGGAAGGAATGGCCAAAAACTTGGTCCATGAAAATGCTTTTAAGGAGTGTCTTAAAGACAATGGTTTTAAGGAGGGTCCAAAACCTTGGAGGAAAAGCTGTTGAAGCTAGTGGTAGTGTTCTTGCCTCTGGGCCGGAAGACACAGACTAAAGTCCCACCTGCTCCAGAGCTGTGTCATAAAATATCTGAACAGGTTGATTGAAAATATCTAGAAGACTAAGGATTATCCAGTTGACATGTTCAATACAGTAAAAGAGTTGGGCAGCACGGTGGGTCAGTGGTTAGCACTGCTGCCTCACAACAGAACTCAGGTTCGATTCCACCTTGGGTGACTGTGTGGAGTTTGCACGTTGTCCCCGTGTCTGCATGGGTTTCCTCCAGGTGCTCCGGTTTCCTCCCACGGTCCAAAGGTGTGCAGGTTAGGTGGATTGGCCATGCTAAATTGCCCATAGTGTCCAGGGATATGTGGGCTAGATTGATTAGACAGGGGAAAGGCAGGGTGGCTCTGGGTGTGATGCTCTTCAGAGGGGCAGTGTGGACCTGTTGGGCCGAATGGCCTGTTTCCACATTGTAGGGATTCTATTCTATGGATAAATAGATTTAGTAGGGATGCCAGAACAAACAGGCTTAACCTGAAGGTGATGTCAGGAAGTACTTCTTCACAGAAAGCGTGATGATAGCCTTGAAATTTCTCACCCAAGAAGTATTTTTGTTAGACAAGCAAGGGTATTACAGACCAGAACAGGAAATTACAGTTAAGCTATAGATCAGGTGTCATCGAATTCAGTGGCAGCAAAGGGCCCGAATAACTACTTCTCCTTTCTCATGTTCCTGAAATCAGATCTCCAGTCCATGCATTGGTCCAAATTTAGTTTAAGGACTTTAATGTTTACACTTGGAACTTGTTTCCACTTTCAAAAGTAAATAGTTTATTAATTGCTTAGCTTTACTGTAAAGGCTGAATATGTGTTGGGCTACAAATAAAAAAGTCCTACAATAAAGTTGAAATGAAAATTATCTATTTGTAATTTGTACTGTTAAGGCATCAACTTGAATTCTGAATATACGTTGCCTATTGTGGAAAAATAATGTAAACTTAAACAATCCGTATGTTTCAACATTATAACTGTTGCAGAAGGCATCATAAGTTTTTTTTATTCCCCATATCTGTTTGTCTGTTTGAGGCTAACAGTCACGGGTTCTTGTCCATCAAAGTGTGTAAACCAGAGTCCTGTTGACTGGGAGGTTGTAAAGTTCTTGTCACTCAAACTCTATGAAGAAACCTTTGGCAGTGTGGGCTGAGTTGGGGCACCCTTTACTAAGTGAGAAATGCAGAGAAATAGATTTCTTGGCAACGTAAAAAATCTAAAATAGCCTGAAAGCAGGAGTCTGTGGCACATCAAGGTGATGTATTGTCTTGCTTGCCGAGCTTCATGAGCTGCTCGTGATACCTTCAATCTGTAGGAACAAAGGGAATTGAAGCATGAGTAGGCCATTCATTCTTTTAACATTGCTCCACCGTTGACCTAGATCATGGCTGATCGTTATTCCCACTATCTCCATATCTTCTACAGACCCCCTGGGGCATAAAATTCCAAAGATTTACCACCCTCTGAGTGAAGAAATTCCTCCTTATCTCAGTTGTAAACAGCCTGCCATCTTATTATTGCATCTTGTCCTGTCTTAGTCAATGTTCCCTCGTTTGATTTGGCTTCTTTGTTGATCTTAACAAATCCTCTGCAGAAAATGCTTCCGACTGCAATCTTAATTTTCCAGCAGAAACCAGTCTTGGTGTAAATGCTGAACAATCTGGGATTCTTTTCGTTAGAAACTAGAATACTGTAGAGCAATCTGATATAAACTTAAAGACGTCGAATGCGATTCTTTTGAGTAGAAGCAGATAAGATGTCCCCACTTGTAAGATGTTAGTCAATACATAGAACATTACAACACAGTACAGGCCCTTCGGCCCTCGATGTTGCGCCGACCTGTGAAACCAATCTGAAGGCCATCTAACCGACACTATTCCATTATCATCCATATGTTTATCCAATGACCATTTAAATGCCCTTAAAGTTGGCGAGTCTACTGCTGTTGCAGGCAGGGCATTCCACGCCCTTCCTACTCTCTGAGTAAAGAACCTACCTCTGACATCTGTCCTATATCTATCACCCCTCAATTTAAAGCTATGTCCCCTCGTGCTAGCCATCACCATCCGAGGCAAAAGGCTCTCACTGTCCACCCTATCTAATCCTCTGATCATCTTGTATGTCTCTATTACGTCACCTCTTAACCTTCTTCTCTCTAACGAAAACAGCCTCAAGACCCTCAGCCTTTCCTCATAAGACCTTCCCTCCATACCAGGCAACATCCTGGAAAATCTCCTCTGCACCCTTTCCAATGCTTCCACATTCTTCCTATAATGCGGCGACCAGAACTGTACGCAATACTCCAAGTGCGGCCGCACCAGTGTTTTGTACAGCTGCAACATGACCTCATGGTTTCAAAACTCAGTCCCTCTACCAATAAAACCTAACACACCGTACTCCTTCTTAACAACCCTATCAACCTGGGTGGCAACTTTCAGTGATCTATGCACATGGACACTGAGATCTCTCTGCTCATCCACACTACTAAGAATCTTACCATTAGCCCAGTACTCTGTATTCCTGTTACCCCTTCCAAAGTGAATCACCTCACACTTTTCCGCATTAAATTCCATTCGCCACGTCTCAGCCCAGCTCTGCAGCTTATCTATGTCCCTCTGTAACCTGCAACATCCTTCCGCACTATCCACAACTCCACCAACTTTAGTGTCATCCGCAAATTTACTAACCCAGCCTTCTACGCCCTCATCCAGGTCATTTATAAAAATGACAAACAGCAGTGGCCCCAAAACAGATCCTTGCGGTACACCACTAGTAACTGAACTCCAGGATGAACATTTCCCATCAACCACCACCCTCTGTCGTCTTACCGTTAGCCAATTTCTGATCCAAACCGCTAAATCACCCTCAGTCTTTATGCCTCCGTGTTTTCTGCAATAGCCTACCATGGGGAACCTTATCAAACGTTTTACTAAAATCCATATACACCACACCAACCGCTTTACCCTCGGTCCACCTGTTTGGTCACCTTCTCGAAGAACTCAATAAGGTTTGTGAGGCACGACCTGCCCTTCACAAAACTGTGTTGACTATCCCTAATCAAATTATTCCTTTCTAGATGATTATAAATCCTATCTCTTATAATCCTTTCCAACACTTTACCCACAACCGAAGTAAGGCTCACTGGTCTATAATTACCAGGGTTGTCTCGACTCCCCTTCTTGAACAAGGGGACAATATTTGCTATCCTCCAGTCTTCTGGCACTATTCCTGTAGACAATGACAACATAAAGTTCAAAGCCAAAGGCTCTGCAATCTCCTCCCTAGCTTCCCAGAGAATCCTAGGATAAATCCCATCCGGCCCAGGGGACTTATCTATTTTCACACTTTCCAGAATTGCTAACACCTCCTCCTTATGAACCTCAATCCCATCTAGTCTAATAGACTGTATCTCAGTATTCTCCTCAACTACATTGTCTTTTTCCTGTGTGAATACTGATGAAAAATATTCATTTAGCGCCTCTCCTATCTCTTCGGACTCCACGCACAACTTCCCACAACTGTCCTTGACTGGCCCTAATCTTACTCTAGTCATTCTTTTATTCCTGACATACCTACAGAAAGCTTTAGGGTTTTCCTTGATCCTACTTGCCAAAGACTGCTCATGTCCCCTCCTGGCTCTTCTTAGCTCTCTCTTTAGGTCCTTCCTGGCTAACTTGTAACTCTCAAGCGCCCTAACTGAGCCTTCACGCCTCATCTTTACATAAGCCTCCTTCTTCCTCTTGACAAGAGATTCAACTTCTTTAGTAAACCACGGTTCCTTCGCTCAACCACTTTCTCCCTGCCTGACAGGTACATATTTATCAAGGACACGCAGTAGCTGTTCCTTGAACAAGCTCCACATTTCAATTGTGCCCAGCCCCTGCAGTTTCCTTCTCCATCCTATGCATCCTAAATCTTGCCTGATCGTCTCATAATTGCCTTTCCCCCAGCTATAACTCTTGCCCTGTGGTATATACCTATCCCTTTCCATCGCTAAAGTAAACTTAATCGAATTGTGGTCACTATCACCAAAGTGCTCACCTACCTCCAAATCTAACACCTGGCCTGGTTCATTACCCAGTACCAAATCCAATGTGGCCTCGCCTCTTGTTGGCCTATCTGCATACTGTGTCAGGAAACCCTCCTGCACACATTGGACAAAAACTGACCCATCTAAAGTCGTCGTACAATAGCGTTTCCAGTTAATATTTGGAAAGTTAAAGTCCCCCATAACAACTACCCTGTTACTTTCTCTCCTATCCAGAATCATCTTTGCAATCCTTTCCTCTACATCTCTGGAACTTTTCAGAGGCCTATAGAAAACTCCCAACAGGGTGACCTCTCCTTTCCTGTTTCTAACCTCAGCCCATACTACCTCAGTAGACGAGTCCTCATCAAACATCCTTTCTGCCACCGTAATACTGTCCTTGACTAACAATGCCACACCTCCCCCTCTTTTACCACCTTTCCTGATCTTATTGAAACATCTAAACCATGGAACCTACAACAACCATTCCTGTCCCTGCTCTATCCATGTCTCCGAAATGGCCACAACATCAAAGTCCCAGGTACCAACCCATGCTGCAAGTTCACCCACCTTATTCCGGATGCTCCTGGCGTTGAAGTAGACACACTTCAAACCACCTTCCTGCCTGCCGGTACACTCCTGCAACCTTGAAACCTTATTCATGACCTCAATAGGGAATACAGGAGAAAATATTTCCCTCCATCAAATAAGTGGAGCTGCAGGACAAAAATCTTAAAATTCAGTCCAAAGGTCATGAACTAATTGATGACTAATTTTTCTTTTGCAAAAAAAAAATCATTTTCCTAATGGAATTTTTTCAAGAGTATGTTGAGCCTGTGGAACTCACTTGCACAAATAATTGAGATGAATAGTATAAGTGCAAACGGAAATCTAGCTAAAATTAAGGAACAAAGAAGTAAAAGAATATGTAGAAAGTGTTAGATGAAGTAGGGTCACAGAAGGCTGATGTGAAACATATTGTATTTGGGCCAAATGGACTGTTTCTAATGCTATAGATTAACACCGAGGCAGCTAGTATGGGGCCCTTTTTAGTGGAGCAACTGAATGTAGATTCTGATCAAGGTTTATTTCATTTACGTTCTTTATCTTGTCAGATTTCTCAGGTCTGTCAGTTGTGTCAGCAGTCTCCCAGGTTGTTTTCAAACCATGCTGCCCAGCTTCACACATTACTGGTAAGTAATGGAAAATAACAAAGATTTGCTACTTGATACAGTTCTTTTTATATGATGGCTTCTCTCTCCCTTCCTCTGATCCCTTTTCTGGAACTACTTGTTCTGAGGAAATCAGTCCACAGGTAAAATGGTTAATGCTGGCAGACTTTTCACACAGAGGCACACACACCCCTCCCAAATCAGAATTCTCAGATCGTGACCAAGTACAGCAAAAGGCCTCAGGTGACTTTACTCCTTCACTAACCAATTTTTACATCCCACTTGCAATCAACCAATTCAGAACCAACTAGAGTGAAACCTCGGATCTTCTAGTTTTTGTATTGTGCACTCAATTGTGGTGTTGGCTTAGTCACCTAAGTATGTGGAGTTAATACCAGTAGTTCGCAGAGCAGTTCAACACTCTGACTAGTTGATGCTTTGCTTTTTAGGGGATCAGAATTTAAATTCCATTCTGTGTTTATTCCCTCTGTCCGGTCAGTTGGTGAACTTTGGCAGTTCTCAGCCTTGGGTTATCTACTCAGTCTGATCAACCTGGTAAAAGGAATTACATTGTGGGAAGTAGGAAGTATCGAACATGATTGTGGTATTGATGATATTGAATAAAAACTAAAAGAACTGCAGATGCTGTAAATCAGGAACAAAAACAAAGGTGCTGGAAAAGCTCAGCAGGTCTGGCAGCATCTGTGGAGGAGAAAACAGAGTTAACGTTTCAGGTCCGGTGACCCTTCCTCAGAACTGATGGTGGCTGGGAAAACGTCAGTTTATATGCAGAAAATGGGGAGGTGGGTGGGGTAGGGAGTAAACGATAAGATAGAATCCAAAGAGAGAGAAAGACAGTTGGACAGACAAAGGAGTTGCTAACGATCAGGCTGGGAGGGTGAGTAGTTGTTAATGGGGACTGTTAGTGACTAACAACAGGAGGTGTGTAGTGGCAGGCTATGTGGTAACAAGGCCTGGTGTGTGGGGTAGGGGGCTGGGACATGGGAGAATTTAGGCCTTAAAATTATTGAACTCAATATTGAGTCCGGAGGGCTGTAGGGTCCCCAAGCGGAAAATGAGGTGTTGTTCCTCCAGCTTGCGTTGGGCTTCACTGGAACACTGTAGCAAGCCGGAGACAGAGATGTTGGCCAGAGAGCAGGGTGGTGCATTGAAGTGGCAGGCAACAGGTAGTTCAGGATCTTTTTTGCGAGCAGAACGTAGATGTTCTGCGAAGCGGTCGCCAAGTCTACACTTAGTTTCCCCAAAGTAGAGGAGACCACATTGTAAGCAGCGAATGCAGTAGACTAGATTCTTGGAAGTGCAGGTGAAGTGTTGCTTCACCTGGAAGGTATGTTTGGGCCCTTGGATAGTGGGGAGGGAGGAGGTAAATGGGCAGGTATTGCACCTTCGCCGGTTACAGGGGAAGGTGCCGTAGGGCTGTGGGGAGGTGTTGGGGGTGAAGGAAGTGTGGACCAGGGTGTCCCGGAGGGAACAGTCCCTGCGTAAGGCGGACAAGGGAGGGGAGGGGAATATGTGTCTGGTGGTGGCCTCTTGCTGGAGGTGGCGGAAATGACGTCTGATGATCTTCTGGATGTGGATGGTAGGTGAGGATCAGGGGAACCCTATCGTTGTTGCGGGAGGGAAGAGAAGGGGTGAGGGCAGAAGTGCGGGAGATGGGTCGGACCCGATTGAGGGCCCTGTCGACAACGGAGCTGGGGAATCCTCGGTTGTGGAAGAATGTGGACATTTCGGAGGCTCCCTTGTCGAAGTTGGCCTCATCTGAACATATGCGACGGAGACGGAGGAACTGAGAAAATGGGATGGAGTCTTTACAGGAAATGGGGTGTGAGGATGTATAGTCCAGGTAGCTGTGGGAGTCGGTGACTTGTTCACACATTTATACAGATTAAACCTGCTTGCGAGCAAACAATTCCTCCTGTTACTCCTTGTGCTAAGAATTTGTTTTCCTCCCACAGGGTCTGTACTGCATCTCTGTAAACTGCATGGACAATGCAGAAGCACAGTTCACAACAGCACTTAGGGTAAGACACCTTTCATATTTACTTTTACAAACAATGGCAGCTCTCATCTTGTGGTGAGTTGGGAGGCAGAACTTTGTCTGAAATTCTGTATCTGGTGTTAGCTTTGGCTGTGCGGGTGGCATATTCATCTCTGGATTAGACGTTCCTGGGTTCAAACCCCACTCTAGAAACTTATGCACAAAATCCACACTGCCCCTCCAAGTTCAGACAGCATGCTGTATTGCTAGAAGTGCCATTGTTTGGATGAGGTGTTAAATCACAGACCGCTTTGTCATGTCAGTGGACACAAAAGATCTCATAGAACTAAGCAAAGCAGATTTGGAGGAATTCTTCCCCAATGTCTCATAATATTTGCCCCTCGATTGAGATCACTGTCAAATATTCAAATTGCTGTTTGTGATATCATCCTGTGCATGAAGTGACTACAGCTTTAATGGTAACACACTATTTAAATTCAAGTACTTTTAAACTTATTCTCTTGTTTCAGTTGACTACACATCAGGAGTTGTGGGCGTTTATAGTCACAAACCTGGCCAGCGTCTACATTAGGGAAGGCAACAGACACCAGGAGGTAAGAGAGTTGATGCGCATAATTTAATGTAAACTCATGTTGTAATATGTTTAAGATGTATAACCTTCAGTGTCTCTGGCAGAACGCTAGGGTGGTGCAGGCAGGCAGGCTGAGCTAGTTTCAGACCAAAGTGAAACACCCCTCATGCACTTGACCATGTGCAGCCACTTTAGTTATTGCTCTTGGTTACAAAACTTAACATTTGTTGTAGCAAGGGGCTTTAGGAAATATCGGGGGCACAGGCAAGAGAATCAAAGGAGAGAAGTTGAAAGAAAATTCTTACAGATTTGAAACATAAGTGGAAATTCTAGAAATATTCAGCAGGACTTACACCACATGAGCAGAGAGAACCAATTAAAGTTTCAGGTCAGTGATGTTTCATTCTGGCTGATGAGAGGGAAGGAGCCTGTGTTTTCTTGACAAATTTGCTACACCTATTATGGTAATATCCTTACATAGTGATTGAGTGGAGCCAGGTATGCACATATATGTGGGATTTGGGATTGGAATGAGCCAAAATAGTCAACTGAAATTGCACAGACTTGGTGCTTTGAAAGTTTTGGTGAGTTGGAATAGTCTGCAATTAATAACATGTTTCCATGGAGCCACCACGAATATGATTTGGGAGTCCTTTTCTGGTGACTCACTCCTTGGGTTTCACTACCAGTGGTGTCACTGTTCCAGGGACCCCACTCCTTCCTGAGCTGATAGATTTCAGGGAATGCTTTCTGATACTGGAACAGTGCGGAGTTGGGGGACTTTTGTTTTTAATTCCAAAATGATCAAAAGGAAAGCAGTGTTGAAAACCATTTGCTTTTCAGCATACATGCAAAAATAGCAATACAACACACACAATACAAAAGCCTAACTAATCTGGTCATTTATCTCATAGTTATTTCTGTATTGTTGTTTGCACAGATGGGTTTTTTTTTTAACTTTTAATGGATTGGGATTTGGGCGTCAGTGGCTGGACAACATCCCTAATTGCCACTTGAACTGCCTGGCTTGCCAGGGCCGTTTCAGTGTTGCAGTTAAGAGTCAAACACATTGTTATGGGTCTGAAGGAACCAGATGAATTTTTTAATTCCAGATTTTCCATTATTCAAATTTCACAATTTGCCACAATGGGATTCAAACCCATATCCCCAGAGCATTAGCCTGGGTCTCTTGATACCAGTCCTGTAACAATACCACTACCTCACTGCTTCCCTGGCGTGGTAAGAGTCGACATAACTCCCTGCCCTGAAAACGTGATTCTGTAGATATTTTGACAGATTTCTGCGAGATGTGATGGGTATTTCATAAGTGTAAGTCTGCCCTGCATCACAGTACTAGACGTCTGTCAAATTTATATTCTGATTCAGTATGTGGATGTACCTACTAGAGAAGGTGCAAAGCTTGACCTACTTTTGGGAAATAAGACAGGGCAGGTGACTGAGGTGTCAGTGGGGGAGTGGGGCCAGTGACCATAACTCTATTAGTTTTAAAACAGCGATGGAACAGGATAGACTGGATCCAAAAGTTCTAAATTGGAGGAAGGCCAATTTTGACGGTATTAGACAAGAACTTTCAAAAGTTGATTGGGGGCAGATGTTTGCAGACCAAGGGACAGCTGCAAGATGGGAAGCCTTCAAAAACGAGGTAATGAGAGTTCAGAGATAGTATGGTGCAGGGCTGGATGAACACAGCAGGCCAAGCAGCATCATAGGAGCAGAGAGGCTGACGTTTCGGGCCTAGACCCTAACCA